TAAGATGACCAGGGAAATTAAATCGAAAGAATGGGAAACGAACCAGGTTTCGCCTAACACAAAGCACTGTTCCAACATCTGCTTGGGACTCACTGAAAGCAGGAAAACCATCAGACAGGATAGAAGATCTCCGAATCGAGATTCGAACACGGGACCCTCCAGGTATGAAGTAGGAATGCTAACCACTCCACAGCGACGTTCAGTATAATCCGCTTACGCTAAGTAACAAATGAAAGGGTTACTACGAAAACAGAACAAACTTTGTACAGTCTCTTAGACTTCGTATCAGAAATTCATTATATCAACTATTCATCTGTCACATCTTATGTCTTCAATTAACTTCAGCATTGTTCTTGATTACCCAATACATATAAAACTTCTAATTACAAAAGGTTGACACAGAACAGGATAACGTCAAGTGCCTTGATGTCCTCTAACTACAAGCCTATCTGCCACAGAGAACGTTTGCTGATAACATTCAATTTCAATTATCTGCGTATCAGATTGCGCCCGCAGTTCTACAAGTGCACCTCAAATTTATTTCGAAATATCTCATTTTGGACACTTGTAAATTCCCTTAAGTGGCATATACGTGGACTTTTAGACTTGCGTAATGGTGACAGCTTGATAAAAATTGCAAGGCCAGAAATATTTCGTTCATAAGGTTTTGTATGTGTGGTTGAGCAAGACCTGTCGCTGTAACCAAGACCAGAGGGTGGGAAACTGAAACTAATTAACTTATCACCTACTACTGGTATCCAAAGGTTCAACAATATTGATACAAACGACCACCGATGGGCATGTAGACATATCACTCACTCTCACAACCTCTTTCTTTAGACTGATGTTCTCTCTCTTCCAAAATAGACGCTTAACAAGCAGATTCTTTTGGAAGGTCAGCAGGTAGGCAAGGCATTTCCTGTCCCTCCAATCGGCGCTATATGTGCGGTCTATAGAAACGTCCTTCACTTCACTTCTCTAACAATACTACATGACCCATAGCTGCTGTTCCCCAATATCCTCTTTCGTAAAATCCAACATTGCACACTTAGGACGAAACTTGTTTTCAGACATTTGTGAGTTATGTAAAACTAGACTTTGTTGTTTGATTTGAAGATACCTTTTCATTTCGTACGTTTTTATATCATTACATATGTTAGTATTATTTCGGATATACGCATTGTGTGACTATTTCCGAATGTCATTTCGGGCGTTAAACCGAATTACGGGAAAGACTTCGTAGTTGTTATTCCATCCCGAATTGTGGTGAAGAAGGGACATTCGCCTACAGTTCCTGTGTCAACTTCGAAGATGTCCTTACTTATGCTGCCAAATTATCCTACTTCACTTGTCGGAGGGAGTTGCACGTTAAGGGACTGCTCGAAATTCTCTGTATATGCAAGTATAGTTACAAACCACTAAAGATGTTGGCACTGGAGCTTCGAGTCGAACAGAGGTAGACACTGTCTTTATTTCCGGCTGTATTTATTTTCATGATTTATTTAATCCGTCTTGCAGTGCATACACTCATTTTTCTCCTTCTCTCCCTCGCACTAAAATATAACATTAGTAATGTATTTATTTTATTCATTTATAATAAGATTAGAGAAGCTGTCAGCAATTCACTGTAAGGGTGACCAGCGAAAAATAATCTGGAAAGGATGCAGAAGAAAATTATCGTGGCCCAATTTGAGGACCTATTCCGAAATTTTCTGGAGAAACTGAGAAAACCAAGACAAATCTAACTCAGCACAGCCGGTCTCCAAGTCGAGATTTGAGCTCCGCACCACCCGAATACGAAGCAGAATTGCTAAACACTTGAATGTGATATGTGGTATATGCTGGCAATGTATTTTTTTAAGTTAACAATAAGAATTCTATAACGAGATGAATTTGTGTAACATGGATTTGGGGATCTAACATTAAAAATGACTGCGAAGATAAAGTGATTTATGAAAGGAACAAACAACCAAAAATTAATTGTGAAGGCTGCTGCTCGTAGTTCTAAATCTAACAACGGTATGAAGGAAATTTTGTTAATTTTTGGTATTATCATCTGCGACAATTGACGTACGGCTATATCTTTCTGCGCGTAGTATAATTAATTCTCCGGTAACAATGCATGAAGTGATACTTTCAAATTCGTAGATTCTCAAGAAACTGCAACGTCCGAAAGTGGTCATTTTAGTCCATCGCAAGAATTGGAACTCCTTAAATGGCACTAAACCGATTTTACTCATTGCGTATTGTTGCCAGAATCGATATTCATTATTATTTCACCATCTAACATCACGTTTATCCATCCATCTCATTGTGGGCTGAGCAAGAACCAAATATTATCCGAATAAATGTACAGTTAAATTATGAAATTGTGCTTTATAAAGACTGATACTCAGTAGTTTATAGTAGTACCAAATCGTGAGGCTCCAAAACCATTTTAAGAACACACCAATTCGACTGCTTACAGTTCGGGAACTTGAAAAATTAATAATATCACATTGCCGTGAAAATGACATCTTTAAGATCTGAGGCTCTTACAGAGGCGATTATGAAGAGTTCTTCTTCTCTATGACTTTACGGCCCTTTCGACCTTGGCTGCTTTTTTAGTTTTTTAATCCTATACACAGTCGGTAGGACTCCCTGGACAGGGGATCAGCCCTTCGAAACGCCACTACCTACACACACAAAAACGAAAACAGAATAAACGCACACAGACATGCATGCCTCGAGTGGGATTCGAACACACGAGCCAGTGCTCTAGCGGGAGAAGACATATCGTGCCTTAGACCGCGCTGCCACTATGATCGGCTGAGGAGTTCTATCTTCTGGAAAATAATGCCGCGTAGTTCGTAGGAAGTCAATCAATTTTTCGGAGGAATATGTTGCCTCCATCTTCAGGGCCGAAGAATAAGCCAAGAAAGAAATCAACAAGAAGCAGAGCTATGCTTGCTACCTACTTCAGATTGGTTTCTTATTCGGTTTCTTCTTCTAGCCTGAAGATGGAGGCAACATATATTTCGAAACTTAAATTGACATTCACCGGCCCCCACGGCGCTATGTCCCAGAAGAGGCCATTCTTCTTGTAATAATAATAATAATAATAATCCGTGGGTCTTCGCAATCCATGATGAACCTTGGCCACTGTTTTACACTTTCTTAATCATATAAACAGTCGCTTGGACTCCTGGGGTGGGAGATCAGCCCGCAGCAAGGCCGCTACCTACGCAGGACACCACAAACAGAATACACGCAGCCAAACATCCATGCTTCGAGTGGGTTTCGAATTCACGATCCCACTGTTTGAGCAGACGAAAACAGTTCGTGACTCAAATCGCGCGGCAACTGTGACCGGTTCATGTCGTCATTACTTCACCGATTTTATTCATTAGGACTCTCAGCCCGATATATTTCTCAGCCTCATGTTTCCAAGGGCAGCTAATAATAGCTTTAAAATAATTCTGATCTTGTATTCCCCATACTAAGACAATAATGCTAGACATGCTCTACAGGGAATAGTAATCCGTCCGTGTCTATAAATAGACCTTCACGTCACAGCATTCTCCCCTTGTGAGGATCAGTTTCTAGCACAATTTATTGTTCCATATTCTTGCGCGTTTCTAGCAAGAACAAAAACAAAAAATCCGTGGTTTTAGTCCTCAAGCGAATTATACCGACCGAGCGACCGCCGATTGTCGGCGAAGTTAGTGCCAACTTAGCGGATAAAGAGTGTCGCGTGATCAGTGCAACGAATCCCCACGGCCGTTAATTTCGGTTTTCTAGACCGGAGACGCTATTTCCTTGAAATAGCTCCTCAGTTATCCTCACGAGGCTGAGTGGTCCTCATTCCAGATCCACTACTTCTCAGAAAATCTGATAGCGCCTGGAATCGAACCCGGACCTTTAGATCTGTAACCAGGAGCTCTGACCACTAGACCACAGAGACGGTCGCGAGTTTCTAACATTCACGCAAATATACACTGAAGAAAATATATTACTGTAAAACACGGTAGAATGACGTTCAAAATTCCAAGACAAATACAATGAATTTTACAGTACTGAAGACATTTAACATTAACAAAAGACAATGCGTCAGAGCAGTAACAAAAGAGGAAAGGTGTATTCCTGTCTACAGTGGTATGTAGTTACATAATCTGTTCTGCACTGCACTTCCGTTTCTCTCCGCTCCCCACAGAATGCGCCGTTCTTGCGCAACTCACTTGACACGTTACTTCTGACACCATTTGCCTAACGTTGCACAGTTCGGATATTGCATAAAGCATATGAAGAGTAAGCACAATGGAGAGGTTATGTGCATCATTTCCACCCTCATATTGCATCTCCAGAACAAATCACGGGATGTCCATGAAATCGGACATAAGATCTATACACAGAACGTTATCCGGCAATATTCATTGGCCCACAGTAATCATCCCTCTTAAATGAAGTTAAAAATCATACTTCGCAGAATTTATCAGAAACGTAAAACTAATGGATAGTAGATGCAACATATAGATTTAGTATATTTTAACAATTATCGATGTGATGTACATTCATAGGCCGTTATTCTCTATTCCCTACTTCCGATAAGGCCTGGTTCGACAACCTTGGTTTAAATCAAGAAAGTAACAACACAGTTGATGAGGTACTACAGCAGTCACATAATTATTTTGTAAGACACAATCCTCATTCGTCGGCTCTGTTCAAGACCGCCTGCATTCTTCCATCTTTTAGTTACAATTTTACTGCTGTTCTGCCACTCCCAAACATCCGGGATCTATGGTTAATTATGAATTTTTTCAATACCTAATCATAGCGCACAAGGTTACTGCCTTTGAAAAAACCCCTCCGCTTTACGGCCGTCAAAATTACAATGGAAACAGCAGACACAATGTCTTAATCTTTTAAAACTCATAACCGACAAATGAAACGAAGTGAGAAATCAAAACGCTCGTATAAATAGTGAGCTTTGTTATACACATAGCATCAGTGAATATATTGTCGTGGCCTGAACAGCACGTGTAGACGAGATGGCTTTCCGTTACATTGGTCGAGTTGCGATTGTTTCATTATCACTGTTCATGAACACAGCGTTAGGTTCCGAAGAAAGTCCCCAGCTACCACACATGTATTACCTGCGACAGTCGTGGCCGCAAGTTGATCAAAAAACATCATCAAGTTTTCCAATAGGATATGGGATTGGTGGTGTAGGATTCTTGCCCAAAGGAGGTCTTTTAGGAGTTGGTGGTCTGGGATATTATGGTGGTGGACCTATTGGGAGCTACGGTGGTGATTTTCTAGGAGGCTATGGAGGTGGACTTTATGGTGGCTATGGGGGATTCGGAGGAGGTCTTCAGAAGAGCCAAGGAGGTAGCAGTTACAGCAAAGGGCAGTCCGGCATTGGAGAGCAAAATCAAGCAGCAGGATTTGCAGCTGGAGGAGGCCACAAGGGACAAACTGCAGCCCAGAACTCCCAGGGATATTCAGGGGCTCAAGACGCCCAGAGACAGAATCAACAATCTTCTGGTTTCTTTGGTAACGAGGCTGGAGAAAAGAAGAAATATGAGAAAGGGGGAGCCTACGAAGGTGGTTCGAACTACGGGCAATCTGGTAAGAACAATTCCGGGGTCTAATGTTTGTTAGTGAGACATAAGTGAAAACTTGATCTGTGGCATTGAAGGGAGAACACAGATTGGGAGTATTTGAGAACAGGGTGCTGAGGAGAATATTTGAACCGAAGAGGGATGTAGTAATACGAGGTTGGAGAAAAATGCATAATGAGTAACTTCATAACTTATATTATTCGTCAAATATAATTAGAGTGACCAAGGCAAGGAGGACGAGATGGGCAGGACATGTAGGTTTCATGGGGAGAAGAGGAATGCATACAGGGGTTGGGTAAGAAAGCCAGAAGGAAAAACGTCATTAATAAGACCTAGAAGTAGGTGGGGGTTTAACAGTAAAATTGATGTTAGAGAAATAGAATAGGGTGTTATGAACTGGATTCATATGCACAGGATAGGGACCAGTGGCGGGCTCTTGTGTACACGGTAATCAGCCTTCAGGTTCCATACAAATGTGGGAAATTCTTGAGCAGCTGAGCGACTGACAGTTTCTCAAGAAGAAGAGCTCAACTCATGGAGTTAATTAGTTAGCTAGTTACTTAGAGACATGAGGCCGCGTCATAGCTCAAGAGGATAGTCGTTGACGGCGGCCCGGTTTCGATCCCGAGTCTGGTCAAGTGGGATTTGTGGTGGACAAAGTGGCGCTGGAGCAGGTTTTCTCTGAGTACTTCGGTTTCTCCTGCCAATCCTCATTCCACCAATTGCTCCACAATCACCCTCACCTATCATCTGGGGCTTGTACAATAGGCCAGAAGTGGCCGCAGTACAAGGGACTTAATCCCACCCCACTAGCAATAAGAAAATGCTTAGAGAAATAAGTATGTGTATATACACCGATTTGTGCGTCTTTGTTTTCCTATTAATGTGCCAATGAACACAGTGATGTACACATTAGCATTTCTGCCTCGCATGAGGACTGTAAAATATCCACGGCGACCTGCTATTATGGCTGAAGATTTTAGTTATTTTCCTTAGGCCTTCCAGCCAAATGCCGGGATAAGCCCTCAACACTAATTCCACTATCATTAGATACTGTATAGACTGGACTACTGATAGCGTTGTTAAATAAAACAACTAAATAAAGGATCTATATGTCACCTCGCTATACATGAGTTACTCGTTAATTTCGCGTCTCATTCTGACTCAATTCGGAGGTCGGACTTGTCCGTTTTTAAATAAACAAAAATATCACAATTGCCATGTTATCATTAAACAATGTCTGCCCTGGAATGCAAAACCAGTTTTTCATATTGAGTCAGTGAAAGTATGCTTTTTCGTGTTTCCCACTTAATTCCTGAACTGTCTAGAGGACTGTCTATAATTCAAACATGTTTCACACTAGAACGCCTTTGAGACTCGCTGTTTATGCATATCTGCCTATTTCGGCATCAAATAAACTCAATATACATGCAGAAAATTTTACGAAGTCTTACATTTTGGAGTGCTTTTAAAATTGATAGGGCGATATTACCTTGAACAAAACTGTGTAACAAGAACTATTAATTTACTCGATAATCTAAGGATATCCTAATATTTCACTATAAAAGCTTCAGACAAAGTATAACATACTATATTATATTTCAGCATCCTGTTACACTCACACAATACATATGGATAAATACCGTCTTAAGTGCAACAAATTTTATTGTAGTTTTTTACGCGTGTAGATTAACAAAGATTTTATACAATTAGAAAGACTGGTAATTTTAAATTTTAACAAGCAGTGTAACAGCTACGTGAGTGATACACACCTGATGATGGCCATTTAGGGCCGAAACATGTAGTGTGGAGGAGGAAAAGAAGTAAAAACTTACAATAAAATTTGTTGCACTTAAGACGGTATTTATCCATATATATAACATACTATTTTGATAAATGAATACGAGTAGTAATTATTAAAATGCAGTTCATTAGTAGTGTCTGCATAAAAACCAAATTGAATTATTTGCAATACAGACTATGCACGTTGCAATACTTATTTGTTTTCAAATACAGTTTTCAAACACAACAATTAAATCAACAATTTAATACAAAATCTCATTTCGGGAGGTTGAAGTTTCATACAAAACAACAAGAAATTATAAATCTTAATACAATGAAACGGAGGGAAGCTGCGAATATATTGAACAAGTAGTCGCGAACAGCTAACAAGGAGTGGTCCTCCGGCTTGGGGGTTGGACGTGGGGCTAACAACTCCTCATCGTAAAAAAAATACGAAATTTTACGAAAATGAACACAAAGCATCGGACCTGGAAGGATTCCTTGGACAAACGACCTAAGCGAGATTTGGTACTTGGAATGTTAGAAGTCTATATAGGGTAGGTTCGCTCAGGGCAGTGGCAGAAGAAATCTTAAAATATGTTAGATTTAGCGGGAGTTCAGGAGGTCAGATGGGGCGGAGGGGGCATCGCACCAGCAGGAGACTACACATTTTTCTATGGAAAGGAGAATGAAAATCATGAATTAGGTATAGGATTTTACGTACATAAAAGAATTGTATCAGCAGTTAAGAGGGTAGAGTTCGTTAGTGATACTATATCATATATAATAACAAAAGGTCACTGGTGTGATATCATTGTTATGAATGTTCACGCCCCAACAGAAGATAAAATTGATGACATAAAGGACAGGTACTATGAAGAACTAGAATATGTATTTGATAGATTCCCTTAATACCCTATCAAAATTTTGTTAAGAGATGTCGATGTCAAAGTAGGGAGGGAAGACATTTTCAAACCAACAATTGGGAATGAGAGTTTGCATGAAATTAGAAGTGATAATGGAGTTAGAGTAGTAAACTTTGCCACATCCAAAAACCTTATTGTCAGAAGTACATTGTTACCACATTGTAATATTCATGCATTTACTTGGACATCTCCTGATGGGAAGATACACAATCAAATCGACCATATATTGATAGATATGAGGCGACATTCAATTATACTTGATGTCCGATCATTCAGGGCAGCAGATTGTGATACTGACCACTACCTGGTGGTGGCAAAAGTTAGGGATAGACTGGCAGTGAGTAAAAAAACAGCGCACAGAGTTCTTATGAAGAGGTTCAATCTCAAGAAATTAAATGAGGTAGAGGGTAAAGAGCAGTATCGTGTTGAAATCTCAAATAGGTTTGCGGCTTTGGAAAACTTGGACACTGAGGTGGATGTTAATAAAACTTGGGAAACTATTAGAGAGACTATAAAAATGTCTGCCAAAGAGAGTCTAGGTTATTATGAACCGAAGAAGCATAAGCCATTATTCGATGAAGGATGCTCAGAATTACTAGACCAATGAAAACAAGCCAAATTGCAATGGTTACAGAATCAAAGTGAAATAAATAAGGATAATCTGAACAATAAAAGACTCAAAACCAGGAGGCATTTCAGGAACAAGAAGAGGGAATATCTGAAAGACAAAATTGATGACCTTGCAGTGAACAGTAAGAACAAGAACATTAGAGACCTGTATAGAGGAATTACTTACCTAATCATGGAGCTGAGCCCTTCTTGAGGAGCCGTCAATTCTGCAGCTACTCAAGAATTTCCCAACATTTTACGGAACCCGAAGGTTCATTACCGTGTTCACAAGAGGCCTCAAGCGGTCCCTATCCTGAGCCAGATCAATCCAATCCATCCCATCCTATCTTTCTGAGATCCATTTTAATATTGTCCACCCACCTACGCCTTGGTCTTCGCAGTAGTCTCTTTCCTTCCGGCTTTCCCACCAATATCCTATACGAATTCCTCGTCTCACCCATTCGTGCTACATGACCTGCCCACCTCATCCTCATTGACTTGATCATTCTAATTATACTTGGAGAAGAGTACAAGTCATGAAGCTCCTAATTATGCAGTTTTCTCCAACTTCCTGCTGTATAGAGGAATAAATATCTTTAAGAGGGGTTACCAACCTAGCAAAAACTTAGTGAAGGATAAGAACGGTGATCTGCTTGCAGATTCCCACAACATTTTGAATAGGTGGAGGAACTACTTCTCTCAGTTATTGAATGTACATAGGGTCAGTGATGTTAGGCAGACAGAAATCGATACAGCTGAGCTGTTAGTACCTGATCCTAGCCCTTTTGAAGTTGAAAGTGCTATCACAAAATTGAAACGATATAAATCGCCAGGTAGTGATCAAATTCCGGCAGAACTTATTCAAGCTGGAGGCGAAATATTACGTTCTTAGATCCACAATCTAATTACTTCCATTTGGCATAAGGAAAAATTGCCTGATCAGTGGAAGGAGTCTATTATTGTACCAGTTCACAAGAAGGGTGATAAAATTGATTGTAGTAATTATCGGGGGACATCACTGCTATCAACTTCATATAAAATTTTGTCCAATATTTTTCTTTCAAGGTTAAGTCCATATATAGATGAAATTATTGGGGATCATCAGTATGGGTTTCGATGTAACAGATCAACCACAGATCAGATCTTTTGCATTCGTCAGATACTGGAGAAAAAATGGGAATACGATGAGACAGTACATCAGCTATTCATAGACTTCAAGAAAGCCTACGATTCCGTTAGGAGGGAAGTATTGTACAAAATTCTGATAAGAGTTTGGAATACCCATGAAACTAGTTAGGTTGATTAAAATGTGTTTAAACGAAACGTAGAGTAAAGTCCGTAGAGGTAAATATTTGTCCGATAAATTTCCTATCCAGAATGGTCTAAGACAAGGAGATGCTTTATCGCCACTCCTTTTCAAATTGGCTTTAGAATATGCCATTAGGATGGTCCAGGGAAACCAGATGGGACTGAAATTAACGGGACACATCAGCTGTTGGTCTATGCTGATGGTGTGAATCTACTGGGTGATATGTATATATACTATAAAGAAAAACACATAAACTTTAATTTACGCAAGTAAAGAGGTTGGTCTAGAAGTAAACACAGAGAAAACTAAGTATATGTTTCTGTCCCGTTACAAAAATGCAGGGCAAAATCATGAGGAAACAGATGTTTTGAAAATGTGGCA